AGGTATGTTTCTATTTTGAAAATGTTTGCATTTGTCATTATTTAAATATTGATGCATCAAATAAATATTTTCCTCCTTCTAATGATAGTTTAAAAAAGCTTTCTCAGTAAGCAAAAGGGGACATTTCACAGAGAATCAAAGGGAAATACAGTGTTCCAAGTAGGGTCTCAAGTACATTTCCAGAAACTAATGAGAAACACAAATTCATGCAGATTGGTAGAGGTTCTTTTTTCGTTGTTTTGTTTTGTTTTTGTTTTTGTTTTAACTCATGAGGAATGGCCAGAACTCTTTGCTCTAGAATGATGGCCCCGGTTGAGTCTCAGAAGGGCATACTTCTCATCAGAGATGAATGGAGGGGGTGAGTTGCTTGCATCTGTGAGAAAATGTGATACTCAGCTAATCGGTGTGGTTTTGATGATACCACAGTTCTGTCCCAAACCCTTGTAACTAGCAAGTTTTTTTCCTGAAGATTATTGAATTACTCCACTGACCATGCATTATTTAAAAGGAAGTACTGCTATTATAAAAGCCATCTGTTTAACCATTAAAAGTCTGTCTGTTGGCCCATGTTTAGAATACAGCAGTGTGTTATGACTAAACATTATGTCTACTCACAGCAGATTCAAAGTGTAGGTTAAGTGGTGGCTGGCTTGTCTGGAAAGCTGCCTTTGTTCTACATGCTAGACAACCTCTGGACCAAAACTACTGACAAAAAAAGTATAGTGCTATAAATTTTTAGTGTTAAGACTTTGTCAGCAGAACATCTGTGGAATGTTACACACTCTAACAGTTAAATATATAGACAATGTAAGAGAGTCCTCAGATTGAGTCTCGGTACTATCTCGGATCCCTGGATTTTACTGTTGCGTTGGCTAAAGACAATGAGAAGTGTTTTAAGTATTCTGGAGAACGCAAATGATAATTAGGAAATAAATGTCCATCTTCTAAGTTTAGAAATATTTGAATCTAAGTGTTGTATTCTAAGCTAAGCTAAGCTGAATCTTCAGCCAAGGTTTTCTATAGAATCCTAGAGCAGAAAGCACCACACCATCATCTTTCCAATGCTTTCTGCTCCCAAGGTCAGTGACAGGTATTTGTACAGCTTTTACTTAGCCACTTCCTGCAGTGCAGAGTTCATTACATTTCAAGAAAGTCAGTTTCATTTAACATTTTGTTTAAATTGCTTAAAATCTTTTATGTTAAGAAAATTTTGTTGCCTGATTACCTGATGATCCTGATTCTACCAATCAGAATAAAAATATGTAACAACTGTTTTTAATGGCAATGATGTAACAACTAGTTCCATCTCATTGTAAAAATAATCAAATGACTAAAATTTGTTGTAATTTAGATGTGATGAAGATATTCACTTTCTTCAAAAGGTGCTGGGGAGATTTGCTTGACAGCTAATAAACTGTATTGCAGTATACTTCCTGTTTTAAACCGTAATACTAAATACTTATATTGTGGTTCTAAAAAAGACTTATAGGATGTAGTTGAAGAAAAAATTCTAAGACTTTGAACCACAACTGTGGTCCCTCAATTGCTGAGAGATGAATGTTGAAACTGACTGTATAGGACATTCAAAGTAAATTAAGCTTTAAAAAGCAATAGGTAAACATTTGTTAGATTCATAAATTCTGAATGAAGTACAATGAGTCCATTGTAGTCATTTATGAATTGAAAAAGAAAAACATCCCTCTAGAATTGTGTAGCTGGAGTTAACTGATAGTTATATTCATGGGAAAATCCACATATGTATATCACTACTCCAATGGCATTTTTTAAAAAGATACAGATGTAAAATAAGATCAAGCTTCTTAATGGAACAGTATACAAAAAATCCTAAAGCTCTTTGCTTCACAAACCATCAGTCTGTAGACTGGAAAGCACAGCTGCTTTATAGAATGAACTACATCAAACTGACTCTCTGGGAGAGCAAACTCGGCCCTAAGCACGTGTGCAATCCTTTGCTGTGGTGGTGATTACTGTCTATGTCATCTTCTGAAACATTCTTATGGCTATTGAGAGTCACAAAGAAGGACCATGTAATGCATGGAAATGCATTTCAGTATCCCTAGATAATGACTCACCTCTTCCTCTTGGGGTAAGCAAGGATAGACAGAGTAAAATTAAGTGAGAAATGCTTGGAAAGGAAATCCTAAGTAGGTTTTAGAATCCCTGACCATTTTCAATCCATAAGCCTGAGTTGTGAAAACAGTTGTATCTGAACTGGCCAAGTGTGGAAGTTTCTGGAAAGACTTCTACAACTCTACTCCCAAACACAAATAACTATTTTTTTCAAATAATTTATTTTATTTCATTTTATGTGCATTAGTGTGAAGGTATCAGATCCCTTGGAATTGGGGTTAGAGTTATGAGCTGCCATGTGGGTGCTGGGAATTGAACCGGGTTCCTTTGGAAGAGCAGACAATAATGCTCTTAACTACTGAGCCATCTCTCCAGCCCATCAAATAACTCTTCCATAATCAACAACTAACTATGTATAACCTTTAAGAAATGTGTACTACAAACAAAGGGCAGTCCTTACCTGAAGGTTATTATTGTGATAGGTACAGCAAAAGAGACAGGCTCCTTCTCTCATTTGCCCATACCTGCAAAAAGAACCCAAATGTATCCCCTAGTCTTAACTGGTTAGCCAGTTAGAAAACTATGCAGAGGTCCTTTGTGGATTATAATAGCCATGTGTGTCTGTTTGTGTCTTTCCTCTAATTTGTAATCCCAGGAAAAGATTATTTAAAAAAACAAAACAAAACAAGAAAACCAGAACAGCAGAAAACATTGTTTACATTGCCCATGGGACCAGCTAGTTTCAATTTGCCAGGGCCTGGCTGGCAAGCAAAAGGCCTGAGTCCAATTCTGTTAGTCTTTCTTCCAACGTCAAGTAAAAGCACTGCTGAGGCTCACTGGGGACAGCTGTCTGGTCCCTCCCAAAACTCACACCCATGAGGAATCCTCAGGGTCTGCTCTGACACAGAGAGAGGGGAGAGACAGAGACAGAGAGACAGAGACAGGCAGAGACAGACAAAGAGAGATCGGCAGCTGATTCTTTCCAGAGAGACCACAAAGGAACCTCAGTGAGTTACTACCTCCACTGCCCTAAGAGGAAACGTTCCTTATGTGAGGGAGTGGCGACAAGGTTCCCGTGCCAACCATCAGGAAAGCATTTGGGCTCTTAGAAGAGGCCATGAGTGGTTGGCCTCTTCCGTCCTGAGGCAGCCAAATTAGTGTGATAGTGGGCCATTACCATGCTCCCAATCGCCCCTGTGAAAAAGGTGAAAATAGAGACGAAGACTTTGATTTTCAAAACCCCATTCTTAAGTATTGTGTCATTATTTAGGTGATTATAAGTCCTTACTTAATGTCATGCCTTCTTGGACTGGGAATTAAGATTAACCATGTATCAGGTTGTTAACTGAATTCTTGTAGTTTACAGATGTCTTCCATAAGGTCTACATAACAGTGGAAAGCTAAACATCCCATCTCCCAAAGGATGTAAAAAAGATGAGGACAGATCAAACTTGTGTTTCCCTGTCTAAGACAAGCTTCACATTTTGTGTGTTTGATACAGTACTGTATAGACAAGATTTGATTTGTGACAAAAAGTGATAATTAAGGTGCACATTAAGTTTTATGCAAGCTCACTCTACCTTTTCTTTTAATTCTGAAAGCCAGTAAAAGTATCATCAAAACCAATATCAAATCAAACCAAAACCTACTTGCCAAGAGGTCTAATTGACTTGCAAATATCAAAGGAGTTTTGATATCAGTGTTCCCACCAGCATTTAGTTCTTTCTGTCCCAGTCCAAAACAGAAATGATTGATCCAGGCCTTCTGGAGTGACTGGGCAAGCCCCTTTCCCACTGGTATTGTAATCAGTCCTGAGTGTCTGGCCTTCTGAATATGGCCAATAGCAACAGTGGGTTTTTATAGATCATTTAAGACTTGGAAAAAATCCCCAAGAGAAGCAAATCTGTAGCTAAGCCCTCTTCTTTATCAGGTGCTGTTTATCACTTTATTTAATACATGATTTCATCTTATCCTCAACTATGACAAAAATGTTATTATTTTGTACAATGAACAATTATATGGAGACCTACAGAGCCTAAGTGACTTTTTTGAGTTATACACCAATATTTGAGCTCCAGGAGGCCCCGAGGCTTAACAGCAAGTGGATCAGAGTTTGAATCCTGACTCCACCAACCACTTCAAATTCTGAGTCTCACTTTTCCCACCAACATAAGAAGGAAGTATTTTTAGATTTTAAAGTTTGCTTATATGCAATTTGATTTACAATACAAACAGTTAAGTAAAAGGAAGGTTGAGCCGCCCTACGTGTAAAACTGTATTCACTTACTACAATGATTAAGAAGATTCAGTTTCCCAGCACGGTGTCTTAAAGTGTGTTCTCACTGTGTATTGCTCAAACGTTTGATATAGTGAACAACCTGTATACCTTCAGTTGATTATTACTCAGTATACATGTGTTTCAAAGTATCATATTGTACCCTTACAAAATATACAATCACCTTCTCAATTTGACAATAAAAACCCCAATAATTTTTACAAAATTTTAAGAAACTTGATCTGTGATTTTCTTTTAAGTAACACTCCTAAAGGCCTCTCAGCTAAGACCATAGAAAGGAAAGTGATACAGAAAGTGATAGAAAGGAAGTGGACAGAGTCAAGATCCTTGAATACAGGCTGTTGGGAACATAGGCAGAATTAATACAAATACAGGGTGTGGCAAATGACTTCTTAAGCACAAGTGTGCTCTGATTCCAGGGAAGGTGCTGGAAGCTTCCTTGAAGAAGAAGAACCTAGTGGGTTAAGTATTACTGGAGACACTTCAACAAAAGGGTGACATGGTGGACAAGTAAACAGATGGCATGTAGGGAGAAGACAGGCATCGAGGGCTAGGCGGAAGTCTGTGAGCACGGGCAATTCTGTCTAACGCCAGGCCATTCTGATTTGTGCAGACAAGCCCACAGGCTATGGCTCCAGCACTCGGAGGGCACCCCAGACAGGCATTGTAGACGAGTGCTGCTTCCGGAGCTGTGACCTGCGAAGGCTGGAGATGTACTGTGCCCCGCTCAAGCCCACCAAGTCAGCCCGCTCCATCCGTGCCCAGCGCCACACCGACATGCCCAAGACCCAGAAGGTAAGCTCATGTGGATGGAATGCAGCTGCTCTTGAGCGCTCTGTCATACATGGTACGGGGGTGGGGGTGGCAAGTGGAAATTCCGTGCTTTGTCTCCCAGATGTCAAGTCAAAAAGCTCTATCCCACCGACAGGGTAGTTTATGAGTCCATCCGTCCAACCACCCTCTGCTCTAAATTACCTTTCCACTGCCCTGGACAACATAACACTTGGAAGATGGTGGAAAGCAAGGACTAACCCTGTCGAAACTCAAGTTGCCCAGTGAGACCTTTGGGCTCAATAGCATACCAAGTTTTATTTACCAACAAAATTGTAATAATGATAGTATATACTGCAACAAGTGGTCAGAGCTCAGTAAGTTGATATACTCTGAGATGTAGTCCATGTATGAGCAGAATGCCTTCCCCCAGTAACGGATAGACAAAGATTAACATTTGCCATATTTGTATCTAACAACACAATTTGTAAGTCCTGAAATTCTACAATGGTTCAAAAACAGACTCCCTAATGGAACCTATTTGAAATCCACAGTGGAAATTATAAATTTAAAAAAATAGTGAAAATGGACATACTCTCTTTAGCTCTAGGAATGCTTAGGTGTTTTTAATGATCAAAACGCAAGGCATCATTTGTCCAAATATTTATTGTAAAGCAACCTCAGAAAGACCACCTGTCCTGATACACTTGTGAATGAATGGATGAATGAATGAAAAACAAATATATTAGAGTCTAAGTAGAGTCATAGTCCTTATATAGATACAAGAAGGAAAAAAGAAGAAAAAGAGAAAGAAAGGAAAATAAAGAGGGAAAAGCCCTCTCTTGGGTGTTTTTAAGGGATTCTTTTGGGGGAAAAATGGGAACATACAGATTCTATCATTGAAACAGAGCCAACACTGCAGAAAGCACAAGATTCTCAAAAGTTCACAATGATACCTTTGTTGTTTCCGGTCCTAAACCACAGCCCAGGCTGAAGGGGGGCTATGGTATCTTAGTGGAGATGTCACCCCTGTAAGTCCCCTCAAAGGATGTGAGGGGACTGTTCAGGACTTGGTATATACAGAATGCAGGAGGCACAAAGGTCAGAGAGAATGTCAGTGTGTGAGTGAAGGGCAAGGGATCACTCCTTCTGATTGAAGAGGAAGTGGGGGTGTGAGAGACAAGGCCCAAAGTTCTGGAATGTCAGTGCTGGTGCCTGGGTTGGAGACCCTCCTCTAGCACCAAGGCTGGTTCCTGTTTCCTATGGAGCCCAGACATTCTGGGCAGATTCAAAGACTGTCTTCATCACAGAAACCATCTATTCTCAATGCCATTGTTTTTGTGATGTTTGCAGTCCCAGGCCCTACCTACAACCAAGAAAATGAAGCCTCAAAGGAGAAGGAAAGGTGAGCCAAAGACACACCCAGGAGGGGAACAGAGGCAACTCAGCAAATCAGAGATAAGGAAGAGCAGAGAAAAGAGAGTGGAGTAAGGAACTGGGAACAAAGAGGCCAAAAAGGGAAGTGGCAGAGGCAAGGCTGAGAGAGGAGCCGACAGCAACTCAGAAAGGCTATAGAGGAAACGAAGAAAAGTAGTCCCGGCTGAAGTAGATAATGTCTGTGATGGAAGTCAAAATAACCCACTATGAATGTGGTGATTGCACACAGAAAGAGTGGAACACCACCAACAACAAATTTAAGAAAACATGCCAACAAGACACACCCTTCCCCTTCTTCAGAAAAGAAACCAGAGTAACAAGTATCCAAACAGCGAGCACATCTTCTCCATGCATTCTAAATTTTGCACGGATCTGTTATAGAAGAATTGCCCATGTCAATATATGTTCAGAGTTAAATATTAACCCTAAATTCGCAGCAACACTGTATTGTGTCATAGAAGTTCCCAGATTTCTTCCCTGAATTTCACTGGTGGCTCTGCTTCTTAGTCAAGTCCAGGGTTTAGGCCAAAGAGCATCGACTATTTACAGAAAGTCCTGTGAGGTAACCTTTAAAAGATCACTGAACTTTTACTTTGTGCTGTGGTCTCAGACATGAAAGATGTATTAGTTTGTTATGGCTGCCGTAACAAAGCAGCATAGACTCGACTCTCAGCAGCTTAACCCACAGACAATTTTTTTTCCCCTCATACTTCTGGAGAATGGAAGTCCTCTTTCAAGCCATCAGTCACTTGGAGGCCTCTTTCCTGAGCTCCCACAATCTTCTCACTGTACATACCTCAGTGTCTAAATACTGGGTTTTCATTAGGATACCAGTGAGAGTGGATTGGGGTTCATCATAATGACCTCACTTTAATTTGATGACCTCAATATTCTGTATCAAGTGCACTCTATTGTTGAGGTACTAGAAATTGGAACCTTATACATGAATTTTGGGCTAAAGGATGGCAGTTAGCCCATAATGAACACATCTGATATCAAACTATATCATTTAGTTATATCTCCTAGGAAAAAACATCTTTTTATTTTCAACTCTCCATCTCTTTGTTCTCTCCCTCACTGCCCCTCTCTTCAAACACACACCCACACACTCTCACAAACACATTCTTTCACTTATACTCACACACCCATAAAAACTCACATGAGCTTACACACACGCATATATACAGTCACACATATACACACACAATCACACACACTCACACATATACACACACACATTCTCGCACAGAACTCACACATACATATTTATACAAAAAACTCACATACACTCACACACACACGCTTACACACCCACTCATACACATATGCATACACACAAACTCTCTCTCTCTCTCTCACACACACACACACACACACACACACGCACACACTTAGACACACAGCATACACTTAGAGCCAGATGTTGAGATCTCAAATCCTATGAGGTTCTTCACTAGAAAGCCCTTATGACCATGCTATGTTGGTGCTGGTAAAGGCCTTGGAAGCCGTTTGATTTTGTCTCTTTGTTTTAAAGACCAGAATACTGAGATCTGGATATAGGTGGTCATGTGTTTGGTTTCTAAGCTTCTTCTAAGCAGCAGACAACAACAATTAATCAAAGTGAGTCAAGTACAAAAATAAGGGAGAGTGCAGAATTGGACATGGGAAGTCTCCCCTCGGTTTAATACTTTTCTGCCAGAAGAAAGGTTACCAGTGCTCTTAGTGCTGAATTTTCCAGAGGTGAAGAAAGTGACAATCAACTCACAGAGAGTCGGTCTTGGTGACCTTTGTCCTTACTTCCCTTGATTTAATCAGTACAAGCAAGACCTTCCTGGAGCAGGAAGCAAAGATGTCAAGAGAATCCAAACTGTGAATTACCACACTAAGAGAGTAGAAGGCAGAAGCACTGCACGATGTCCCTTTGGTAAAATGATTGAAAGTCACAAGTGAAGCATTTCATCTGTGTAACCCGCTTTGAAGAAGTCCTGCTATAAAGAACTGTTCTTTCTGCCTAGTCCTTCCCGGTCCTGAGACATATTTTTTTCTATTTCCGAATCACTTTTTCTCCACAGCTCCCTGAAAAGCTAGGATGTCTTCAATATTACAAAGGTGTCCAGAGCTCAAAATAGGACGAAAGGTTCAGTTCCAAGTCTGTGTCAAAACCCCCAGTGAAAACCAGGCCCATTCCAGCATCACTGCAAAAGAGATGCCAGGTTGTCAGGCAAAGCTGCACTCTGTCAAGACAACACACTTTGGGGCCAGCCCCAGGCAAAAGCTGACTAACGCCACCTTGGCAGAGACTCCAGACACAGATGGCTCTTCAAGAGACCACAGTTCAGCAATTTATGTCCTATGGAAAGGATTGGGTGGTTGTATCTAATTACAAATTTCATTCAAGGAAAACTTAAAGCAGCGAGACTTTCTAGTTAAAATAAGTTCTCACAGCCCTAGACTGTGTTGAAATATATTTCTTTTTGAAATAGGTGTTAACCATTTTAAAGCAATCTTTAACATGCTACATGTTATTGCCATGTAATAGGAATCATGAAAATATAATAAAGCATTGTTCTTTCATCGAAGACTGCTCTTTACCTAGGATAGTGAGGCAAACAGAATAAATCAGAAAAGGCAAGTGAGCTTTGCTGACATCTCACATACTTGAAATGTTCTTCTTTGGTACAAACTGAAATTGCTCAAAGACTTAATGCTAAATATTTCACAGTAAATGTGATCTATTCGGTCAGTATTTTCTTTAATTAAGCAGAAAACCCTTTCTTTAAAGTTCCCACATTTCCAGTTTCAAGTGTTTCTGTTGAGGCAAATTGAAAATTTAGTTTAAAGTTGATTAAAATATGTAAGGAATCATCATTCTGAGACAAAACTCAATTAGACTATAAATGTCTAAGTGAGGCATAAAGCTTATAAGTTGGAAAAGCAAAATAGCAGCATCACAAACACAGAACTCTGTCAGACCTTCTCAGTGCAAGCCAAAGCTCTTAACTGTCTAGCTCATCTGTGCCTCAGTTTCCTCATCTCTCAAACATGGTACCAACTGCATCTATCACATGTTGTGAGGACTTATTGAAAGTATATATAGGCCATCTGTGTCTGTGCATATATATATATATATACACATACATATACTCAAAATGATGCTTACAAATAAGAAGCACTATTGAAATACTAGCTGATATTACTGTACTTATGGAAATTAGAGCAATAGAAAAGTTCTCTGAAGTAGCGGTGTCTTGTATCACCAATCTTGCCAAGCCACTGTTTGACGGCAGTTCCAGTGATGTACATATTCGCCAACATATGACAGAAGAGAGTTCAGTAGACTAAGATTCCTCCCAACCTAAAGAATGCCTGATTCTGTGAAAAATTCCAATTTAAATGCTTAGTCTAGCTCTTCCACATGGAGAACTGCTAATATTTATTTTAGGGTCATAGAGTGAACTTTTCAGAAACCCACTGTTTTTTCTCAACCAGTTAAAATGTAATATGTGTTTTCATTTCATGGTGCCTGGGGAAAATTTAATTGTAGCATGAATTCTAGATCTTTCTAGTTTTAAGTAAAACTGCCAAAA